AGGAGGGCACATTCTGCATGGAGCACTGGGTGTTATGCACAAACAATGAATCATGGAACACTATATCTAAAACTAATGATGTAATGTATGAGGATTAACATAACAATAAAAAAAAGTTCACATAAAAATCTGTGTTATTCATACTTATAACTAAGTTTCACATCATACCCCTTCCAAACTAAAAACCATAAATTTAACATTTTGGGGGGAATTCTGACTACAAATTCTCATAAAATCAACTTAATCCATGTTTCTTGTCATTTCACACAAAGTCTAACTTGTAACATGCCCAGACACAGCACTACTATCTTATTTTAATATATAATGAAAATACATCAAGTGCAGTAAGATTCCAAGAGTGTTTCCTGCATACTTGGTAGGGATGGGGAGAATGCTGCTTATCACTGCATACAAGCCAAGAGGAATGGCACATGCACACAGTTCCAAGAACCAATGGAGAACACATCCTATGAGATAGAGAAGTTAGGATGAAAAAGGAAAGAAACAGGAGTTACAGGGAAATTTATGAACTGGCATAAAAAAATGCCACAAGTAGGGATGTGACTGACTTTGCCTACCTCTTCTGTTTTTCTGAGGTACTGCAGATTACTGTTAGGGATGAGAACAATGACAGAAACTGAGTTAAGTGAAGGAGACTGCCAATGGGGGCCCCACTGAAGTTCTGCCCATTCTGGTAATTCTCCTTCCAGATTACAAAAGAGAAAACCCCTTAAGGGTAAAAGGAAGTGTTGTGGGGAAGCAAGTACTCAGCAATACTAACCAACTCTTAAGGCAGTCATTGGAGAAGGAAGTAACATTCTTTGACAATTTACTTACTAGAAACTTTTAATCCTTGTAACACTGAAACTTAAATATTATTATCCTCATTTTACAGATGATGGTAACAAGAAATGTGTCCAAGGTCAAGATGTCATTTAAGCAGAGTAAGATAATGCCTCCATCTGTCTGGTTTCAATGTCCATGTTCCTTCAACTACTTCATACAGCCTCTTCATAAAGTCTCTCTAATCACTATCACTGACAGGTACCGCGATTACTGACAGGTACCGCGATTACTGACAGGTACTGCTATACCCACTGAAGTACCTAATCATTATAACTTTGGGTTTGTATTTTTTTTTTTTAATCACTTCATTCTCCTCTTATGTCGGTACTTTGAGGCTTCTTGTTAAAGTGTGAGGTCTCCTACTAGAGACATCAACTTTCAAAGGACTCTTCCCATCTAGACAGTAAATCAATAAGTACCAACAGTGTTAGTTCAGTCTTTGGATATTCTTGACAATTTTTATCACTCTTTGTTCCGCAAACCAACTCTTCTATCTCCCTCTAGGAAGACAGATTTCATTCTGGGCACTGAGGAGTGCCAGAAAGTACATTTTAAGATAGAAAATTTATTCTCTTTATCTCCCACCTCACTCATCTGAAAGTAACTATCTAAACAATCTCACTACTTGGTACCAAGTTGAAACTCCAGTAAGAAGAAAACAAAGTCTTGTTTTGTTTTTTTAAAGGATATAAAGGTAATTAATTCTTTCAAAGATCATGAACTTTACTGACCTAGGTCTCTTGAGAGGTCTCTCACAGCCTATTCATTCTTAGTTTAGGTATAACTAATAATCCAGTTATCTGGATTCTAGCTAGGGTGGGACAGAACACCATATTAAAAGAGAAGGAGCAAAGTCATTGGGATCAGGAAGAAGTCAAAGCAGGATGCTAATGGTGGTGGAAGCAACCAAAATACTATTTAATAAAGTAGAGACATTTTAAAAAGCAGGGCAACATGAGACTACTAAGTACAAGAGCAAAGTGCACAGGATGCCATTATTCTTCCATGTCAGAAGAGGCCAGGAATCCTTGCCCAATTTTCCAATAACTCTATTCTTGTATTTGCTGTTCATGTGATCTGTAACTTAGGACTTCTTGGTTTAGACCCTGCCTGCCTTAGAATATCCCCCTTTTTCCCTTCTTACATCAGGGTTAGCATTCACAGAATCAGCCTTAATTCACACTATGGTCTGACATCTTGGCTTTTCCTCATGGCTCTCACTTCTAAATCACAACATATCCTATGGAATATCCAACCTAGAATTTAGCTACATTTCTGACCTTCTTGGAGCCCTACCAGAAGGGTTTTATTGACAGACACTGCTTCTTACTCTTTGCCAGATCCCCAGCTAGGCTCCTAACTTTGCAAGTACAGCTCCTTGGAACAACTCCATTATTACTCTGCCTTTTGGCTGTGACCCTTATGGCCCCACTCAAGTAATACAGTGAACATACCATCTATTACCTCTAACCCCCCAAGACAGTCTGGGGCAGCACTCCATCAATCAACTCATTGATATTTCTGCAGCAAAAGATAAAACATACTCACATAAGGTGGGATTAAATAATGACTATAAATAGCTTCATATCAGTTTACATTATATTTACTGCCAAATGAGTTAAGAAAAAAACTTTCCAGAGCCTTTTCAACACTGGAATTAAAATGAAGGGACTTTGTACATGTATTTTTTTTTCCCTTTCTTTTCTTTTCAGATCTCCTCCTAAAATATTGAAGAAAAAATTTTTTTTCTGGTGTTTCAATAGGTAATTTCAATTTTCTGATAATATTACTTACATAAAAAATGTACTAAATAAATGATGTATATACACAAAAACATGCATATATTCATCATACAGTTACCATACAAACAAAACAATATAAATAGATGCTCATATATTTACCCACAGAGAAGCATTATCCAGGCAATAAGTATAATTAAGTTACTGAAAAAGTACACATATAAAACATTTTATTTAGTGAAATTAGAACCATACCATGGTTTTAAGATTAGCGATACAGGATACATGCTCCAAAAAAAAAATTTTTTTTTTTTTTAATGCAGTTATCCAGGATTTAGAACAAAAGAATTTTAGAATAGTAAGGGGCCTAAACAAATCCAGTTAACCTTTATTCTGTTCATAAGATAATTAAGAAAGGCTCAAAAAAGTTATAAGTGGCTCAATCCCCTATCTGAAGGAAAGCTGGATGGAAGACAGATGCCTTGCTTAAAAACAAAAGTACTTAAATTCAGGTCTCTTGACTGTCAGGTCACAAGTGTTTTCCTATATTAATAGCTATCTATATAAAATAACTGCATTCTAAGACAAATTCAACCTCCAGTACTTTTTCCAACTGCCACTATTCTTATGTTATAAACCATGCCTTCTTATCCATTTTATTAAAGAAAAAATCAATGGTATTAAAATATGACAAGTCTCAGCTTCATCGCTAAAGTCATCTAAAATGACTTTATCCAAGACACATTTTCTGAAACATGTGGAAAATGAAACAAGGTAATTCTCTCCTCATCCATCTAATGCTCAGCTCTAAGGAGACTTCTGCTTTCCTTACACTTTAACCTCACTAGATTATTTTCTCCAAAATTCTGAACAGTACTTGTGGGCACATTCTCCCCCCTCCTTTCAGCATCTCCTCTTGGCTGTAAGTTCCTTCAGGGTGCGAAGCCTACACACAAAAGGTGCTGAATATTTGAATAAATGAACGCACATAAAAATAATGTGTAATTATGATCCTTAAGGAAGGAGCTCAAATCATTTGGCTCCTATTATCTGACTTGACAGTTACGAAAATCATCTAATTTGCCAGAGGTATATATTATTGTGATTAGTAAGTACCATAAAGCACTTTATAAAGTTCCTAAACACTTTATGATCACTTGAAATGTCGTTTTGCTGGCCAAGAGTACGGTAAGAGGAAATGTTTCCTCACACTAAGCAAATGCTACTCCAGCAAAGGCTTTTTTTCCCTGAGAGGAGTGGAAATAGTCCCCCGTAGAAGGCAATATCCACTCCCTTTTCCAGAGCGCTTCTGGAAAGCCGCCTTGAGGGTGGTGCGGGCGCTCAGAGCGCCTCGGGCCCCGCTCCGACCGATCTGGGGCGCAATGGGCGCCACTTGGGCGGATCCGGCCAGTCGGGTTCCGACCTTCCGACCTTCCTCGTACGCCAGGACTGCGGAGCTCCCGCCGGCGGGCAGAGTCCACGCCTACCTGTTGTGCTCGGGTAAAACCAGACCTTCCCGGAGCCGGAGAAAAGGACTGACTGCACTGGCCATTCGGTCGTCCCCGCGCACCAGTTCAGTCCCTCCTCGGAGGATTCCGGCCCCTTCAGTCACGACACCTAATCCCTCCACCCATTCCCGCACCCAGGGTCTCAGCTTCCTCCACCACTTCGCAGCCGCGACCACCCTGGGGAGTCCCAAGCCGCTCAACTCACGGCGCAGGCCCGGGTGTGATGTCCCTCCCAATGGGCAGGCAGCACGGGCCCCGCCCCCTCGCGCCCGCAGCGTCTCCACTCCCAGGATCCCAGACTGCTCACCTTCTGGGGTCCCTCACGGCTCAGCGCCCGTCCCAGTCCTGCCACGTTACCGGCTCCACAGCGCAGCAGGGCAACGCCGGGACTTGCCGGTGGCGGCGACTGCGAGGCAGTGCGGCGGGAAGGGCGCGCGCGGGGCGGAGCCGGAAAGCTCGGAGCCGCGAGCGCGGCGGGAGCCAGCGATTGGGAGCGCGCCCTGCGCCGCGCTGCCGATTCTAGGCCCCCTCAGCCGGCCGCCGAGCCATCGAGCACCCACTCTGGCAGGCGTGACTGCTCCACCGCCGAAAGAGCGATGGGGGAGAGTGCTGCCCAAGTTGATTGAGGCCAGGACATTGGCTTTGCAGTCGGGAGATCTTGGCCACAACTATTTTTGTCAGTTGTCATCGCCAGCCAGAATCCCTAGGGGCGGCACTGGGGCATCTGAAGGCCAGGACACAACTGGAGTCTGGAGAAATTCAGGCAGGGAGTGCTGTGGGTGTGGATGGTGTTAGGTTAGACATGGAAGGGACCCTAGAGAGCCTTGTAGTGCTACTCCTGGTTTTACAGCATGAGACTGGGGCCTAACAAAGCGCCTTACTCAAGGTCACACTCTGAGTCAGTGGTGGAATTGGGACTCACAGCCACTTGGCTCCAAGTCAAGTGAGTTTTTCCAGTATACTCAGCGTTTTGAATATAATTTTCAGTTTTTATTTTGAAACAGTCTCAAGGTTACAATAATGTTACAACTATAGGACAAAGAACATTTTTCCAGAACCATTTGCCATTTAAGTTGCCTACATGATGCCACATTCTTCCTAAATGCTTCAGTGTGTGTGTCTTACTAATAAGCACCTCAACTATGTAGTCACCATCTACCAAAATAAATTTACGTGATACATTACGTTTGGCCATTGTCTCTTAATGTTTTTTATGGTAAAAGGATTCAGTTCAGAATCAAGCATTTGGTTTACTTGTCATGTACCTTTAGTTGCTCTCAATCTGGAACACTTCCTCAGTCTTTCCTTGACTTTCATAACCTTGACACTTTTGAAGATTCCCGGCCAATTATTTTGTAGAATGGCTTTCACTTTCCATCTGTCTGATGTATATTTATGATTAGAATCAGGTTAAGTGTCTATGACAGGACTGCCACAGAAGTAATGCTGTGTTCTAATTGTGAGGCCTGATGCTTGGTTTCTCAACCTGTTTTGAAAGCATAAGCAGAATTAAAGTTGTATTAGTTGCATTATTAACTTAGCTGCACATACTGTTTTGTTCCTTACTTATGTTTTATGCACCTCTAATCAATCATTAACTTTAGTTTTTCCACTCTTGCTCCCCTGTTTACCCACTGACTGTAGAAACCTAATGGGGACTCGATGATAACACTGGTCTTGAAATTATCCGACATACCTGATCTTACCAGGTCCCAAATAGGGCCTCATTGTCCAGAAGAATGCATACCTCCAGATTGTTTCAAGTTTCCTTCCCATCAAGGTGTCAAGAAACCCCTCACCCTCCTCTCATGTATTCACATCCTTCCCCAAACATACATAAGCTGTCTCTAGGCTTAACAGGACACAGCAACCTTGGGAATAATTCCCTGCCTTCTCTTTGGGCTGCCCTTCTGACAATAGAGCTTTCTTAGCTAGCTTCAAAACTCGTGTCCAAGATGTTCGCTTACTGTGCATCAGGTGCATGGACAAGTTTGAGTTTGGTAACAGTTGCATCCTATCAGACGCTTGGGTGGCTCAGTAGGTTAAGTGTCTGCCTTTGGCTCAGGTCATGATCCCAGGGTCCTGGGATGGAGTCCCGCATTGGGTTCCTTGCTCAGCAGGGAGCCTGCTTCGCCCTCTGTCGGCAGCTTCCCCTGCTTGTGCTCTCTCTCTCGACATAATTTATTAATAAATAAGATCTTTAAAAAATAAAAAATAAAAAAATTGCATCCTATCAAGTGGCACATTTTAATTAGTCTCATTATTGATGTTTATTTTTATTTTATCTTTTTAAAGATTTTATTTATTTGACAGAGAGAGATACAGCGAGAGGAGGAACACAAGCAGAGGGAGCGGGAGAGGGAGAGCAGGCTTCCAGCAGAGCAGAGAGCCCGATGCGGGGCTCCATCCCAGGACCCTGGGACCATGACCTGAGCCGAAAGCAGACGCTTAACGACTGAGCCACCCAGGCGCCCCATATTGATGTTTATTTTAATAAAGCAGTATCTGCCAGGCTTCTCCACTATAAAGTTACTTATTTCCCCTTTATAATTAATAAGTATTTTATGGGAGGAGATTCTTTGAAATTATGTATTTTCTCATCAAAATTTTAATTAATTTATTTATATCAGTATAAATTCAGAGTTTTTAATTAAATGGTTATAATCTATTTCTATCATTATTTATTTTGATGTTCAAATTGTCCCGAGTTTGGTCTGGAGGAGCCCCATTCATGCTGGTTTCTGTGTCTTTCTGTGTTTTAAATTCTTTTGCAATATTTTATTGTAAAACATTTTTTTTTTAAAGATTTTATTTATTTATTTGAGAGAGAGGATGAGAGGAGAGAGAGAGCACATGAGAGGGGGGAGGGTCAGAGGGAGAAGCAGACTCCCTGCTGAGCAGGGAGCC